TTCGGTGTTGCCGCAATGTAAGCTCGCCCAAGTTCTAGCATCGGCCTTTCACATTGCGTCCAAATATCTCGATATGGCTGCTTCCTCTGATTTAGGTCCGCATCGCCCATCCCATTCCTTGCAGGTACGGGGTTTCTGCGGGGTAACTGCGACGGTCGCGAGAGGGAAGCAGCAAAAATAAAAAATAAAATAATTAAATGGACGAACGGATATTGACGAGCCAGATGTCAATCAAGATAGCGATTGTTCTTGGGGGTGAAAAAAAAGGAAAAATCCTCCAATAAAGACACCGGGTGTCTGTTTGGTGCTTTCCACGTCGGTGAGAAAAAAATACTGCTTCTAATAAGAGTTTCGAGATTTTGTGTTCCCGAAATTCAAAGGTAATGTTCCTGCACGAGTACGGGCAGTGGTCGTGGTAGGGGTGACTGGGTTAGTTTTCCGAATCCGCCGGAGATGACGGTAGTGAATGAAGAGTGTTAGTTTTTTTTATTCTCCTTGAGATACCACGGATGGCGCGAGTAGCTAGGGTCTTACCCCTTAGGAATGTATGCCCGTATATTTACGGGTTGAGGTTTTTGTGCACTAATATACCTGCATGTTTACGGTTCGGTTTGAAAACGGCCACGGCAGTTTCTGCTAACTATCTGCAAGTCAAGAAACTTTAATGAGTAACACTAGGAATCAATTTTGGTGACAATATGCATTTATTATTCTTAACACAGGGATAGATGATCAGTGAGCTGCTAGCCATGGCGTCAAGAAACCAAACTTGCGACAATAGCAGCTATCCAAGGGAAGGATTAAAAGTAAATTCCCAGCGTTGAGTACACAATGCTCATATAGAAGGAGACTATGTGAGGGATCTAGATTGGGCAACATTTGATATGGATTTTAGGATGACCCATACACCTGGCTGATATGGCGGAAAACGCTCCTTAGCCATCACTTTTACTTGCATTTGAAAACACCAAACTTGGGCAATGTGATTTCATGGGACAGAAAATTGGGGAAATGATAGTTAAAAAAGGTAAGATTTTGCTTGTCTACCTGATTAAAATAGGCATATATCAGTACTGTCAAATTTATTTAATGGATCACTCAAAATTTGAATTAATCCTTAACTTGGTCGAATTCGCATGTACGCATATGATTTCTAAGCATACTCCGGTTTTAAAAATAAACAGAAGGTTCTATTATGGTTAAGAGAGCTCCGGGTGAGAGAAGTTCTCACCGTAGATGAGCGAGAGTGGAGAATTCCTTGGACTGACGAGCCATGTGGGCACGAGGTTCGGGGCTTACGAGGCTCGGGTGACCTCGAATCGAGGTGCGCTTAAGAAACATTGAATGCTTCAGTTTTCCGTGGATACAGAGTACCGCCTCGGTGCTCGGTGTACGGGAGCAAAGGAACGAGAACTCAATCCGATGCGTCGGCAAAATCCAATAGCTTTATCGAGGCTACTCTCAACATCTTCGGGAAGGGTCCAGGTTTCGTTTCTAGGGTATCTTGAAAGGGTCACCGTCTCCCCATCTGCTTCTTTTGCTTGGGATTCCGGTATATCCTGTCATAAGAGAAATCGAAAGCCACTAAAACTAAAGACATACCCTCTTCCATTCGTATCACGCAGTAAGCACAATCAGGATGGTGAAAAAATGACGATAGAGACTTACCCAATGCCGGAGACCCGAAACGGCTGCCATTGAAGAAGGAATTGACTTAGAAGTGTCGTTTTTTTTTGTTTTGTTCAATGACTATTTATTATACAACATGCCCTTTACAGGAAAAGGATACAAGGTGGGAGGAGGTGGAATATACAGGACTAGTTATAGACAGATGGTGGTTCTTCAGCGGTTGTTGAAGTCCAGGTCTTGGGGTTGTAAGGTGGTGTGGAGGTCTTGGGGTTGGGTGGGTCCGCGGCCAGCCACCAGGTGGTGTTGTCAGGCCAGGGGTAGCTGAGGGAGGTAAAATTTCTTCAGCGGTTGTTGAAGTCCAGGTCTTGGGGTTGTAAGGTGGTGTGGAGGTCTTGGGGTTGGGTGGGTCCGCGGCCAGCCACCAGGTGGTGTTGTCAGGCCAGGGGTAGCTGAGGGAGGTAAAATGAAGTGTCGTTCACCCAACGACCTTATATACCCCTTTGGCCCCGCCTCCCACTGTCCCCCTTTACCTTCCCTCCCCCTCCATTCCGCTCGAGATTCATATCGTCCTTCCGACTCTTTTCCGATCGTATCTGCAAGATACCAGTTTTAAAAATCCGTGCACGGTACACAGTCGATTCCTTTCTACCTGGCCCATACGTTTCTCCAAAAATCTCATGCACGATTTTCACACGTTGCTGACCCTCCCGTGCCTTTCACGTTCAAGATCTCCTTTCCAACCGTCATTTTGACAAGATTTCTCCAACATCTCTCTCACCCTATCTCACGGTAATTCTATTGACGGTTTGCATTAGAGAGTTGTGACACCACCCCCCCCCCCTCCCCAATCCCCCTCGCAGAAAAAAAAGGAACTCCTGCGAAGGCGTTCATGCGGGGTATGGAGCCGTCCAACCCGGAAATTTTGAACTGTGAGACTTTTCGTCTTTCGTTCGCGTGAAGATTCATTCTTTCCATGTTGCGCAATCTCTCCGTCGTACAGTTCCACCCTTTTTTGCGAAAAAGTTTATTCGAGACGTTATTGAAACAAAAACCTCGTATTTAATCTTTGCTCCGTATGTATTAATTGTATTAATCTTTCGCAATTTTTCAACCACTGATGTGCGGTATGGTGATATAGGCTATCCTATCGTCTACAATCGCGCTTAATAATAATTATTTAATTGAACCAAAAGATATTAAACTGAAAATTTTTGAACTCGTGGCGCCTCATGCGATGTTCTTCGTTCCGCCTAGAGAAATTTTCTCAACGCAAAATAGTGAAATGCGCTCCCGCGGCACAATTTACCAATCGTATTTCGTCAACGGCTGCGACGACGATTACTTCGACAATTTAATTAATTGGATTTTTATCTATTATTTTCAAAAAGTTTTTTTTTTCCCGAGAATGCCATCAGCATTGAAAGCGAAGGTGAATATCATATAGTCATCATATGACCTCCAAGGACCCGGTGAAATGGCGGCTTGTGAAATGGCTTCATCTTCCAACCTGAACGCTTCCTCCGTTTCTGTCTCAAGACGGGTTCATCACCCCTTCGTTACTTTCCTTCTCGCCGAAATTCTTTTTAGAGGGCCTCCTTTCCTGCAAGGAAAGAGACGCTTTTTCCTCACCATCTCCGCTTTGCTTCATCTGTATCTCATCAGTTTCATGAGCTCATTTCGGCCTTTGTTTTCTTGCTTAGTTACGGTCTGCGAGAAGCATGAGGTTATCATCCCCAAAAAGTAAGGTCTGAGGGTGGGCAGAGCCATCAGATTCGGAAATCGCCAAAAGGTCATGGATATATATAAGGTTACGAAAATGGAGATTTTCTTGCCCTTTCCCTCTCGACTCGAGCGCGAAAACCTGGGAATGCGTTCCCCGCTCGCCGCACAGTCGACGCTCCGCGTAACGGACTCGAAGAGTCAGGCTAAAAAAAAATTCATTATGAGGAAAATTCGAAATCTGGAGATTCGTTATGTCGACTGTCGACTGTATTATCTCCGTTCCCGTCATTATCACCTGATAAGGAATTTTTTTTCACTGATTTCACCCAGAAGAGTGATGGAGTGGAGAAGCACCGCGTCAACTCGCGATAGCCGCACTCTCACCAGAATTTGCTTTCTCAGGTGAATGTGAGTCACGCATTCCCCGTCCGTTCACCGACGTTCACCCCAAGCCTCAGTCGGGACCCCTTCGTCTCTCCAAGCGAGACCCCTCGTCCACGCCCCCCCCCCCCCCCCACTTCCCCCCCGAGCAATGGGAACGCCCATACGCTTGGTTTCATTTTAGTCGCTTCAGCATCATTCGGCCAAGCATTCTCCCCCGTCCGATCGAGTACGTCCGCTCCCCTCTCCTCGCCGCGCTTGTTCCGTCTTTTACAGTGTGTGTTCAAGCCTCTTCTACGCAAAGATTTTTAATCGTCATTTCTTCCAATCGTGCAAATCCTTAAAGAGAAAATATAGACGAAATTGTGAGACGAAATGGTATCCTAATCTTTGAGATACATTCTGTATGAATTTTTTTAAACATTACTTACATCCTCCTCGGGTAATTCTTCAGTTGATCTTGCTCAAGTACTCTACTGGCACATGTACAGTAATGTACATTTGGTCTCAGTATATAGCATGTGGAATTTTACGAGTTTGCATCCATAACATTGATTTTATACAGGGTGTTCGAAAAGTCACATTGCAGTAGAATTGACGACATGACGGAGGAGGCCTCACTGTAGCTAGGAATCACAGACAATAAATTATGTGAATCGGGGATGGTGCTGATATCTGATGAATTTCCACTCAATACTTGATGTCTTTGATGGTGCAATACATAATGTGATACGGGATCGAGGGGTATCATTCTTATTAAATGGACAAAGGCGGACCTTGCGATGGTGGTGAATCATGTTGAGACCCTTTAGAAAAAAAGCGGCGCGTTTGGAAATTATCATCTGCATCCTTTCTCTTGCCTGAAACCATGAATCGATGATACATTGTTCATTTTTTAAATATGGGCCATTAAAGTTTTGTCATATAATGCGTTTAATGGGAGGTGGGTCTCCCTTACCAAAGTTTTCCCACTCGTATCTACGCTCGTCCTGATAAAGGAGCTGCAGACGTGATAACTCCGACACCGCCTTTCAACTCAGAATGAGAAACGGTCTGGCTCGTGACTTCACTATTCAATGTTTTTGCTGGAAAAATTCCATTCAAATGAATTCAAAACTAGCATTTTGAAGGCGACTTTTATAGTCAGTCCAATATGGGATGCGGAAAAATCTGATTGAACTAGGTATTATTCCCATCTAGCGTGAACTTCAACTGCCAGGCACTCGCATTCACTGGATTTCTGCAGCCCTTTCCATCGTGCCACCAAGATGTGGGATTCCGAGGATGCCATCCGAGTTGGAGTGTCGAAGCTGGCCCGCGACTACAAGATGGACCATCCGCGCAGGGGGAAAGCCCTCGTGTTCAACAACAAACTTTTCCATTCGTCCCTGGATCTTGGGATTCGGAATGGCACGGACGAAGACAGGGATTCCCTCCGTCACACGCTGGCTCTTCTCGGTTTCGAGGTCCAGGTTTTCAACGATAAATCCTACAAGGAGACCATTAAAGTAATAAAAAATGGTTGGTTTCCCGATCGATCGAACGGCGTGGAAACGTTATCGACTTTCGATTCCGCATGACAGTTGCCAAGAAGTCGTCTTACCAGCTCTTCATTCTCTTTCACGACAGTCGCAAAGGAGAATCACGAGCAGTACGACTGCCTTGCCGTGTGCTTCCTGAGCCACGGGGAACACGGCTGGATCTATGCATACGATGAAGCGTTTCAGCCTGACCGTCTGTGGCTCCCGTTCGCTGCCGATCTCTGTCCCACCTTGGCTGGGAAGCCCAAGTTGTTTTTCATTCAGGTACATTTCCTCAAAGTTCTTTGTCCTTCGTTCATCCGTTAATGTGACTTTCTGATACCTTCCGCAGTTTTGGTGATACTTGCAGGCTCGAAACCGTAAAAAAAAAATGGTACTAAATACTCGGCCCGTACAGAAACACGGCGAAAGTTGCTGGAGACATCGCATGGTCTCATTCTTTTGCCATCGGTCGATATGATATTTCTCTTCTTGAACGTGAGATATTCAGGGTGTCTCAAAATTCCGGACTCTTGGGCAGATTTCACCATTTACCTTTCCATGAAATGTTAAAACCACATGCCATAAAGCATATGGATTACACAATTCATAAACATATCAATTCTGCCACGTCACCCCCTCTGAATATTGCTTAGCGACTCCATGCCAATTTTGGCACACCTACATTCTAATTTTTGGCAATTACGAATGCTCCCCTTTCATCAACATGGCGTGGTCGTGAGTTTCAGATGCCCCCAAAGGAAAAAGACCAAGGGGGTGAGATCCAGACCTTTTCATTCACCTATTTTATTTTGAGATCGAAAGAATTTTTTTTTTTACCCCAAATACCTTTGAATCCGCACTTTCGAGACACCCTGTACAGTTTTTGGCAACACTTCCAAGTCAAGAGTGCCTTGATTTTTCTATTATCTAAATGGTACTTTGCGATAAAAATGTAGCTACTCCGAAAGATTCCCCATGCTGAAAATGTCACGATCAAATGCTTCAATGAAATATTCAAGTGGCATGGTGAACGGAATTCAATGAATGAACATAATTGGATTTTGCAGGCATGTCGAGGAAAACTTGTGGACAAGGGAGTGACGCTGACGTTCGACGAGTCCACGACGGATTCCAAGAAGGATACAGATTTTTACCGGATCCCCGTCTGTGCCGACTTTCTGGTCACATACTCCACCGTTCCAGGCATGATGTTCACCTCCTTCACGCTTCGTGACAGTCGAAACATATGGTATACAAAATAGATTTTTAATTTGCAGGATGCCTGTGACCCATGTCAAGCTTCGGTTGCATTTCATAACGTTTTAATAACTTTTGAAAGTATATTATCTCCCCGAAGGATACCAACAGATTCGAAAGTCTCGATCCCTGCACGGGCAACTGTGCAGCTAAAACGGCAGGACACGGAAAAGCAAATTCCAGTGTAGGAGCGAACGAACGGGCGAAAACTGACGGTTGGAGTTATGGCGGGTGACACTGTGGCATCACATCACGTCACGCCTCTCATAAATGCCCCGAGGAATTTCAGTCACGTTCAGCATTGCTTCTGACAACCATTGCGATTTCATGCGATATTGTCCAAATCTTTTCCCTTCGCGATTACCAAACAGGGAGAATGTTTGTTATGTCCACATCTCTGAAGCGAGATGTGGAACGGTGAAAGTTAGACTGAAGTAAAAAAAGTAACTATATATTTTTTTTTCATAAAATATAAAATATCCTATACTTTAATTCGAAGAGGTCAAAAGCTGCGGTGGTAGTGGCCGTGGCTGTCACCCCCAACGCGCAGGCCTACAATGCAATCCCCTTCTGGATCATAGGCCACGCCATCCACGGCCTNCTACAATGCAATCCCCTTCTGGATCATAGGCCACGCCATCCACGGCCTAAAGCGCCAGGCCTACAAGGCTACGCCTTTCCAAGCCATCATCCTATACTTTAAATCGAAAAGCCTAAGAGTTCTCGTGGTTGTCACCCCAGCGCGCGAGGCCTACTTCATGCCATAGGCCAGGCCATCCACCCCTCAATGCGCCAGGTCCTTGAGGCTATGCTATGCTTGGCCATCCAACGCTTTTAGCGCCAGGTCCATTGAGCTATATCAGTTTAAGCCATAGGCTTCGTACTTAGCTAGCTGTGTCAAAGTCTTTTTCTTCATTTTTTTCCGTTAGGTCAGGCGTGGCAGTTCGGGACATCGCTTCCATGCAATAGTTTTCTGTTTGCGTTTATGTCATGGCCGATTTATTTGAGTTTTCATGATTGATGAAATCATAATAATTACGTAAGTTCATTGTTTCATACGTCGCCCAACGGGCCGCTCCTCCAACAAATATTGTAGTGATTTTTGCGAGATGAGGTTGAACGTGTAAAAAAATGTTGAAAGAGGT